TCGCCCCGGCTCTGCCCCGCCGGGGGAAGGCGCCTCGTCACGGTAGAACACCACGGGACGAAGCCCTGCCTTACAAAAAAAGAAAAAAAATATATATCTCCTGCGTTCACGTTGGGCCTGTCTGATCAGAAATGGGAATCAGAAATATGATCGCCAAAGAAACAAATGGATTGGGTCTCGTCGCATCCTCTCCAAAGAAGCGTTGCAGCTCTCCCAGCTTGTTCTCTTGCCCAATGGAGGACCTAAGTTTTAGGATAACGGTTCTTAGCTTTACTGCCCTCTCCTGTGTTCACCAGCAGCCTACCACCGGCAGTCACAGCACTTGCTGCCTGCTGCCCTGGGGCACGGGGTGAATGGTGGCCTCAGAGGCTTCTGCTGGCAAAACTCTTTTCCTTGGTGCTCCTCAGGTCTGGAGCCATAGCCTGCCTTCCTAGATAATTGCGACAGTGCAAGCATATGGATGTACAAAATAAACTTACTCATTCTCGATTCTTTCTTACTACAGAATAATTCTTTACCAGGTTTGCGTTCGTGGTTTATAACCTTATCAGCTCGAATTAATTTGATGCTTCTTTGTGCTTCTACATTCGGCAGGTGTAAAAGGAGGAAAATATTCTTGTAGTTGGTATCTTATCTGGTGGAAAAGCTGAAAAAAATCAGAAATAAATCCTCAGTAATGCTAGTGAAGCTGTGAATTAACAGCACTAGCTTGTAAACTGGCTTAAAGTATCAGGGATATCCGTCTGAGTCTATCCCTCAGTCTCTAATTGATTAAGATTTGTAGTAGTAGTAGTATGGTTTTAAGCTTTTTTCTCTTTTAAGCTTTATGCTCAAGTTTCCTGCTGTCAATTTTGTAACAATGGAAACATATCTAATGTTTAAAAACATAAAAAAAAAAAAAAATCAACAGAGGGGACACCTGTGTGGTGGTACTGGAATCCGAGGTCTGGGCGGCCATGGGAACTGGCATACCTTTTGAATTGTAAAAAAGAGGCCGCTTTGGTTGTGGGGCTGAGAGAAGGGCAGGGAAGCCTGGGCGTGGTTTGGTTTGTTGCTTCTGCCCCTTCTGCAGGTTCTGGTTACGCAGCAGAGGCTTTCAGTCTCTAAGACTTCCTTCACCAGCATTAATTTGTAGGAATAAAGAACCAAAAGGAAAAATGGTAATATTAAGCTCTACCGTAATATCTAGACAAAGTTTTTAAATCTTTATATTAAAAACACTTAAAAAGATATTGTATATATTTTCTTGGTATGCCTACAGACTTCTGCAGAATACATGTATGTAAGTATTCAGATTTTAAAGTTTAGAAAAAGATTTTGAGGTTTTTAACTCTGGGAACAAGGAGCGTACCTGACTTGATCAAATTTTCCCTCTGAAGAAAATAGTAGGATAGCTAATGTAGCTCCAGTTTGATACGCTAACATGTTTTCATTAGCAGGCATGCTTATTACAGGCATCTGCATGTAATTAAATGAAGCCGTAAGCAGCTACTGGATGGGGATAGCACATCATAGGCTCTCTTCGTCGGCTTTCAAAGGTCCCTGACCAAAACCATCCCCTGAAGCCCTGGTGTGGGTAGTAGTTAAGTAGCATTTTCTCATGTTGGGCTAAGCCCGTTAAGGTTAAATGCTGAGAGGAACGTAATTACACCAGTACCTTCTCTTTAAAAGGCTGAAGGGTCTTTCACATGGTCTCTTAGCCAGTAACCTGAAACATCAGTTTCCTTATGGTCTTGTGCTTCTGGCTTTGGGATCCTGGAGTCGCCTGGCAGGGGAACGTTGGCAGTATCCTAGGGAAGAAGCCGACGCTATATTGATGAGATGTAACGTACGTGTTTCTCCTCGTCTCTTTTCCCAGCTTAGACAGACCATGACAAAGTTCTGTCAAGAGCATTTGGCTCCGAAGGCCCAACAGATTGACCAGGAAAATGAATTCAAAGGCATGCGGGCAAGTATTTCATGTGTGCATTTAAAATAGATGGTAGTGAAAGCCTGTCCGTACTTTGATCTGTACGTTGGTCCAGACAAAAGTATCCCAGTCCACGCCACAGGAACGTATGCACTAACTTCTCAAACTTGAAAGCCATAGAGAAAACAATTTTTTTTTATTTCCCATTTTATCTTTTGTTAACAAAACTTTCAGCAGCCTGGGGCAGAACCTAGCCAGCATGCAATTAAAAAAAAAAAAAAAAAAAAAGGATTGATAATGGTCTTGTTTGGATCCTTATCATGGTATTTCTGCTTGGCTCTGTTCAGACTCCTTCCCTAATATGTGCTTTGTATTCTCCTCGCCAGGACCCTATCCTGGACAGCTGAGTTTCCTCTCAAATTTGTTGTGAAAATATTGTGTGCAAATGCTGAAGCGTAGAGTTTGACTGTCGAGCTGAAACTTGCTTTCCTAATAAAACGACACATTCTGTGCAACGGGATGGCTTGACTGATGAAAATGAGACCTAACTATTGGTTTTCATAAGCTCCACAAGACTTAAAAAGCTCAGAACATCTGCTAGGATTTCCCAAGCTCTGATGTTGGCATTTTCAGGGATATATGTGCAGCTTTGAAGTTAAGTATATAAATTTAGTCTGGCGCACCAGATGTCATCCAGAGCTATTGAATAATACTTTTTGAAGTCTCTGGAGACTATTCGCTGATAATTATCTTATTGCTGGAGACTGAGGCCATGTGTGGTCCTCGTTGGTGACATCCTTTGCTACTGCATTATGTCGTAGCTTCCCTCTTACTCTGTGGTGCCGTGTGGCGGACGCAGCTGATGCGTATGGCTCGAGTCGGCCAGCAGCTCTGCGCCTCGACTCACGTGGCTGTCACTTGAGCGGTGGTGTTGCCAGAGTGACCTGGGTAACGGGCAAACGGAGGAGTCGGCGGTCTGGGAGGACAGCTTGTCCTCCAGCAGATGAACTTTGTAGCGTAGGTGTCCAACTATGCAAAACTGAGTAATGCTATCCAGTCCCCAGCTGTGTCTTGTGTCCTGGGCAGTCTTGAAAACCTGCAGGTTATGTACTCGAGCGGCCCTTGTGGCTTCAGCTCCTTTAGCTTCACAAGCCCAAAGCGTTCACAAATTCTCTGTCGTGGTCACCCTTTGTAACTTTTCTAGTACTGCCTGCGAGGTGGGCAGCACCTCTGTCTGCCCAGCTGTGACATGCCCATTTTTTTATCTCCCCCGAGGAGGCCTGCTGGGTTTTACTTATCAGTTTCTGTTTTACTAGAAGAGTTAAACTGCCAGCTAATAGAAACCCTTCTAAGTATTTCCAGGGATTCAGTCATGGATAACTTATGCTAACCTCTATTTGCAGCAGCCACAAGCTGATAGTCCTACACAGTGCTGCCAAAGCACGGTGACAAGGATGCATGAGGTAAAAGACAAGCATAAATTTAAGTCATAACAGCCTAAATTATCTTTAGCAAGAGATAGTATATGAAAGCCTAGAAGTGCGGTTTTTGAAATTAATGGGAGGTTTTAATTCATCAAAATTCTCCCTAAACTGGGCAATGAGTTAAATCTTAGGACCTGTCCTTCCAGAATTAAACTTAGGCTTGTGACCTTTCACTGAGTTCAACAGACTACTCACATGTGTAGCGTAACTAATGTCCTTAAGTTTGTGTGGGTTCTTAGTCCAAAGGATGGAGCTGCTGCTGCAGGAGGAATAGGTATAGATGTATTAATCTCCAAGATATCACAAGAATAAGGTAAATTGATATGTCTGGTGAGCTACCTGGGAAGACTTCTGATGCTGGTGCCCTGACTGTGAGTCTGGACTGATTGCTTCTTCTGTATTTGTAGGAGTTTTGGAAGAAACTTGGGGAACTGGGAGTTCTGGGGATCACAGCTCCTGGTAAGTCTCTTCCCACCTTTTACCTTCTGGTGGGTGATTCTTCAAACAAAAGGGAGGCTACTTAAACTCGCCCGTTCCCGTTCATAGCAGCCTTATCTGTGATGTGACATCCGTTTTGTCCAGAAGCTCCTATCTTCATGTTTTTTAAAAACTCTCTTAGGCAACTTTTTAATTTTTCACCGAATCAGAATCCTTTTTCCTTGTTAGACTTCTGGACGATTACAAAATGCTTTTTACAATTTAAAAGTACTGTTCAGAAATGGTTTCTCCGGATATAACGTATGCAACTGGAACACGTTTGCGCTTCTCCAATATGAAGCGTTTGCCGCAAGTTTTGAAGAACGCAAGCTATAGATAAAAGTATCCTAGAACAAACATCCATCTCTAATCGGAGAAGTTAGAGGGTATAAAACAATGCTGTGAAAAGCTGTGATAACTAATGGAGAGCTGACCACATCCAACCAGTCAGAAAAAATCAGGGTAAATCTCATTCAGCCTTGTCCAGGTTAGTTGAAAAGTGTTTTGATTCATGTTATAGATGACTGAGGCTGCTCTGGTCATGCTGAATGCACTAACGCAGTGTAATGAGGAGAAGCCCTTAGTGCAGAAAAGCAGCCAATGGGGCCTTTATTTCCCCGTCGTAAAGTCTGTGTTTCTGGATGTGCGTGTGCAAAGGCTTCTGCAGAAGCAGGCTGAATAGCAATGCGTTGAAATAATGCCTCT